TTTTCCCCCTACTTACCACTTCTAATAAGCCCCTAAAATAAGTTTCAAAATTCAATCTCCTTGAAAAGTTATTTTAGAACATGAATTGATGAATATAGTAATATCACACCTAGCGCTATAGAATGAAAATATATTTTAATCTAGTGCTTAGCACAATGTAAGACATAGTAAGAAACAGTAATGTATACACTGTAATGGCTCTGTAAGTTAATTAAAAATATTTGATAGCAAGCAAAAACTTCATGTTATAATTCATGTTTTAGATTCATAATTCAAAATAGGCAATAACTATAAATACATTAAAACCAGATGTCATTGGAAAAAAAAAATCCTAAGGAGCTATTCTGTTTTTTTTTTTTTTTTTAATTACATTGTAATTGGCTTCAAATGATACCTGCCACAAAAATGTCATTTTTCAGATAGTCTTATATTTCCCACTTTATATCTAATGTTTCAAAAGTATTTTATAAAGAATAATGTCAAGTGTACTAAGAAACTCACTACCATATAACTTGTGTAGTAAATCTAATGTGAAGAATTATTCTATCGTAATGTAATTGTCACCTAAGGATATTTCAGATGTCTAGGTCTTTACTTATGGGAGCTTGAGTAAAGTTTTACTTGTTTGATTTTTCAGGTGCTGTTTCATTAGGTTGCTATCCACCACTGGAGGGAAATTTATACCGAAAACTTCTATTGATTCCTTCTTATTTATCTGAGATTGAAATGCTTTTAGCTATTGAAATCTTCCTGGTATCTAATGCTAGTAGTATTCAGAGTCCTGGAACGTCCACACAGATGTTACAGATAGTTTTGAAAAGGTTGGTTGATAAAACTAACTACATTCGGAAAGCACATTATGGTTTCCCATACGTGTCCTACATTACAAATGTTTTTTGTACTTGTATATTTTTATATTTACATATACTCTGTAGATAGATTATATAAACATATGTGTATTATAAAATTTGCTAATATTTTAAGAAAGCATAGGATTTATTTGAGACTTAAAACTAAACAAGTTAAGGGGCTGGGCTGGGCTGGGCATGTAACTCAGCAGTAGAGTACATGGTTAAGATGCTCAAAGCCCTGGTTTCAATCCCCAGCACCACCAAAATAAAAGTTAGTAGCATTCGAACACTTCAAGTGACTTCGAAGCTGTTAGATTTGAAAAAGATAAGATCTTCAGATACCCACTTTTCCTATAATTGTACCTATTTGTTTAGAAATTGTAATTGTTTAGAGATTGGTACCTAAAAGTTCTTGGGTAACCCAAAAGATGTAAAAACCAGGTCTAAGCCAGGTGCAATGGCACACACCTATAATCCAGCCCCAGGAACTAAGGACCTTGCTAAGTTACTTAGGGCCTTACTATCTCAAAATAAAAAATTTTAAAAAGGGTTGGGGATGTTGCTCAGTGGTTAAGGCACCCTGGGTTCAATCCCTGGTACCAAAGGGGAGTGGGGGAACCCACAGGTCTAAAAGGGAAATATGTGATATTTTACTTGGTTCAGTCAAGAATACTACTGAAAATGAAGCCATCAGCCTAGGTTCCATATTTTAAAATGTTTTTATATATGCATAGATATTATAATGTAGGTGTTAGACTAGAGTGACACTTTAACGTCCCCTGAATTTAGACTTATACCACTGATTTCTTGCTAGCCTAACCCAGGAAACCTAAAACATAAAGATCTCACAGGACTCCTATTTTAGAGTTTCTTGACAAGAATTTTGCTTCAGTATATTGATGTAACGAATCAGATCCTCAGATTGAATACTATTGCATAGTTTTCTATTGCATAACAAATAACCTAAAATCTAGTACCTAAAATAGCAAATATTATCTTTGTTTTTGTGGGTCAGAAATTTCAGAACAGTTTAGCTGGATGGTTCAAGCTCACCATCTTTTACGAGACTCAGAATTTTTCATGTAATTGGAGTCAGAATGTCAGGAGCTGTAGTCCTGTAGTCTTCTACATGATGCCTTGACTGCATCTGGACATTGCCTTTCCTAGTTGAATCTCCTGATTGCCTATTGTCGGAAAGCCTCAGTTCAACACATGAGCATTTCCATAGGTTGCTTGAGTAAAAGGAGAAAACTGCAAGGCCTTTTGTGACCTATATCAAGCAAGAACTGTGAATGGTGTCAGATTTTACCCTATCTTTAAGTTACAAGTTAGCATGCCACAGTTTCCTGAATGCTTGCATGAGACTCAAGACTCTTCTGTTGGAGACAAGAGTACTTTATTAGTTGTGGTGCAGGGAACAGCATGACTATCTGCATATTTATATTATTCATTCTCATTCCTAAATCCACAAATGGACCTTTGTGTATTACCTGAAGATGCACTGGATTCTGTTACAGGAGAGGAGTCCCAAGCTTAAGAGAATCCAAATCTTTTATAATGGGAAATAGCATGCCTACTTTTTGTTCTGCAGGGAGATACTATCTCCATCTTCTAATGCTGTAAATAAACCTGCCTTTTTCTCCTGAAGGAGAAATTATCCTGGCTTTCAAGATTGTTCCAAATTTCAAGGATGTTTATATATAATGAACAAAGGATAGTTGGTGCCTTTCAAAAAAACTTCCCAAATTTCAGGATACCATGGAAAATTGTCATCCCAACAACCTAGTAACCAAAGTGACAGTGAACAACTTTGGATTTCTTCTGTTAATTATAGAAGTCATTTAGTCTAGCTCACTAGAAAGAAAATAATTTCAGCTCCACCTTTGTTTTAAAACCCACTAAAATTAGGACCCCCTCGAACACACTTTTTTTTTTAATAGCTTTGTTTTCTGAGGATTTCCTTTTTACCACTGTGAACTATAGTAGCCTGAGGCAACTGGGCTTCCCATCATCTTAATGAGGGCTTGATTTTTCTGGTAGCATTCCATTCCTCACACATGCCGTCTATTTACTCACTGTTGAATTTGGGGGGTATTTGTGGCCCTAGAGCATAACTAGTGACATCCATAGAACTTGATTTCTTTTTTATCCAAGCTGAGTATGTTTTCTCTTATTATTATCATGCTGAGCTCTGCCTTATAATATTAACCTTTCTGAGAGAAAATATTACTCATCTTTAGATTTTCAAAACACTACACATATTTGGCATATGCTCAGTCTACCAGAACACCACTTGCTAAGCTAGAAGGCACTTGGCCACTTTTTCCTCTCTTTGACCATTGGCTCCTGTTTCAAGTGCTAATATAACACCTACATCTCTATTTTAAATACTTCCCATCCTATATCCCAGAGGAAAAAGTGCCCTAAAGAATGAATTTTACACAAGCACACACAGTCACAACTGATAGCAGAGAGCTGGTAGAAAATGTATTTATTAGAAAAGTAAATTCTAGCACTTACTTTCTTCAGTCCTGACTTGTTACTTCATTAAGATATACAGCAATACAGTTCGATACCAAATATTAGCCACTATTATTTGCTTTCAACTAACAATAGTCAATATCAAGATAAAATTAACATGCAGTTGTCAGTAATGCAAAACTTCATTTAATATTCTTTCATGCATTATAGTGAATAATTATACAGTCATTAACTTTGCAAATACAAAGTGATAGGTAATTATGTTTTAGATCAGTATTTTACAAGTCATCAGTTGCTGCCTAGTTTGTGATGCAATCATTTTTGGGTGTTGCCACCATCGTTAAAATTGAAAAACAGTATAAAATGTACATCATCATCATCAGAGTAACTATTTTATGAGATTTCTCGTTTTTTATGAAATTTTTATATTACTGGGTCAAAATTTACAGTACCTTTCTTCCTATGCATGGGTCATTGTCTGAAAGATACTTCTAAAACAATAAAGTGAAAGGAGTGTCATGGCTTAGTACCAATATAAATGAAGCTTTTCAAGAAACCATATTGTTGCTTTTTAGAATTTCTGACTTTGTGAGATGTTCACTTTATAGATGTGAAGACAACAAGCCTCGGAGCAAGGATGATTATCAAGCTGCAGTGGAAAGGTTAATTATGGCTGCTCGAATATCAGATCCAAAGCTTTTCATTAAGCACATGACTGTCAATGTTAATAAGGAACAGGTTTATAGTTTGGAACATTGTTCTGCCCTGAAATGGTTGAAAGAGAATATGAAATGGGCTGGAAAGGTTTGGCTTTTCAGTAATCATTAGTTAATAAAGGCTTTTTTTTTTTTAAGTTCAAGTAATCATTGTTGAAAATAAAAAGCAATAAAAATAAAGTTTTCACTTTTGAGTTTTTGCACTTTTTTAAAATTATAGCAAGTTAACTGTTTTTAAGCAATAAAAGTTTGTATTGATATATGTAATTTGTAATAGTTTTATCCACACTGAAAGTGACCTTTCAGATTAATTTAGAAGAACTTCGGTGTGGTAAATCCCCATTTACTGCAAAATCCAAACAGTGAAAAAAATCACTGAATACTGTGCACCATTTAATAAAAAGGAACATTGCAAGCAGGTAACAAGTGTTCAGAAAAACTTTGAAGTTTTTCTGTAAGGGTATGAAAGGGATTAGTGGGTTCTCAGTTCAGTCTAAATTAACCTACAACTAATCTTTGCAAATGGTAAAATAATATTAAAGCGACTTGAACACAACTTTCAAAGTACCTTCTGAATTTAAAGGCATGCTTCCTGAAGTTTTCCTTTGGTGCATCTTAGAATACTGCTTTTTGAATATTTTGTTACATTAGGAACAAATACGAGAACTATCCAAACCACTTTGGAAGTTAAAACTTCTTTTCTGAAGACAGCTTCAAAATCTGCAGCGTACTCGCCAACATAATAGTCCTCATTTTTAATTTGGTGCTTAAAACCATAAATTCATATCATTTAGAAAAAAATGAATAAAGAACAAGATGTGACCGTGACGGGGGCTGGAGCGCGAAGCCGCCTTCAGCGAGTCCCCAGAGTGCGTTGACTGCGGCATCCCTCGACAGGCTCCGGGGCGGGGCATAGCGGCGCTGCGCATGCGTGCCCCGCCCCCCAGCGCGCGCCCAGTTTGCCCTTCGTGATGCCCCGCCCTCCCGCCGGCCCTCGGGCCAGACCACCTCCTGCCGGCTAGCCACCCGTCTCCCTGCAGCCTAGTCCCGCACATTCCGGAGCGCTCTTCAGCGCCTCCTAAAGCTCTCAGCGGAGCCCCCCCGGGCGGCCGGTAAGAAGTCAGGGAAGCAACGGGCTGTGGCGCCGACGTCAGCGCGGCGGGGCGCCCCGAGGCTCGGCCCGCGCGCAGGCGCGTTGGCGTAAGGCTGCTTGACCTGCACCCGGCCGCGTGCGGGCGCTCGGAGATACGGCGGCGCGCGGCCTATCGGCTCCTTGGTTGGCGTGGGCGGTGGCTCCCCGCGAGCGCGCGCTCGCACAACTCGGCCTCCTGGAACGCCCAAGCTGTGAGGAGCGCGGGCCCAGTCCCTGATCCTAGGTCGGTCCCTTCCGAGGAGAAAGCGGAGGCAGAGCTCGAACCACCTCAGCTTGGGCTTTGAACTTTTAAAGCTCGTCCGGGGCGCGGGTATCTATATGTGCTTCATCTTTCCTTGAAAGGAGAACACAGACTTTAGGCTTCATTGTTTCCGATTTAAGATTTCCCAAAGTGTTTGTCTTACTGCAAATTGTTACGACTTAAATTTGATAGCAAGGGATTTAGAAAAGAGCCAGATGGAGCAACCTGCTTTCAAAAAAAACCTTACAAGATAGTTACTAAGGGAAGTCACAGTTTAAATGAGAGTAACCTAAGGTTAATTGTTAAATAAGTTACTTTAAAATGAAAATTGTCCCAAGAGGTCAAAGCTCAGTCCTGGGACCTCCACTTGGCAAACACTGTTAATTGTTGTTTCTGTATCTGGCGAAAGTAATCTAAGTAAGAGTTTTTCTTACACTGCCCTATAATTTGGATTTTTCACCAATTATCTTTCCAATAAATTTGGTTTGGAATTGCACAGACACTAAGTGATCTGTAAATGGATTGTTTCCCATCTTCCAGTCCCCATATAGAGAGGACACCCATCTCCTTGAACATGACTTTCCAGAGCGCCTATGCCCTTAGGTGTAGACCTGGCAGTTTCTTATTTTACCCTGTGCATGTCTGTATCATTACATTTACTGTATTGTTTTATGATCATCTGCCTGTGTGTCTGTTTTTCCACTTCTTCCCTCTTCTATACTTAAGATTTTGGGGAGCTGGAATTGTCTTGATTTGGGTTTGTTGTTGTTGTTGTTGTTTAGTTGTAGATGGACACCTTTATTTTATTTATGTTTTATGTGGTGCTGAGGATCAAACCCACTGCCTCACACATGCTAGGCAAGCACTTTACCACTGAGCCACAAACCCAGCCCTGTCTTGATTTTTTCCCCCTATTCCCAGAACTTTACACAGGACTTGGCACATGAGCCTTGGGTGGGTGCTTCTTGGACCCAGAATGCCTCCCAAGTCTGGTAAGACAGCCTAACTTCTTTAGTTGTTTTGTAGCATGCCTAAGGCCTTTTCGAAATGGAAGGCTATCCAGTTAAGTGAAATATGGACAGGAACCACTTGCATTAAGAGTTTAAAGACAAGAAGCCTACAATTGATGTGGATGCCCCAAGCTTTCACAGCTCACTTTACTACATAGGAGAGCACCCAAGTACTCTAGCAGTGTATCTTCAGTCAGCTGATAGTAACATGACTTTCTGTGTAGCTGGTTCTGTAAGGGAAGAAAACATGAGATCTGAATCTTCTACCATTCTCTGCAGTATGTCTTTCAACATAGATTAAAAGGTTGGTGTTTTGATCATCAGATAGACCTCTTCTGATTTTGTTTTTCCAGGGCCTGCTTATTTATGCCTGAAGCGGTACAGTTGGGTTCTTGGTCTTGCAAGGTTAAGACCAAGAGCTGTGTCACACACAAAGGCAAGCAGCCATGCCTGACAGCCTGCTGGACTCTTTCATTGTCTCCACTTAGAATTTTATTTTTCAAAATCTCAAAAAGTAAATAAGCTATACAGGGAACAAGGAACTAGTTCCAGAACAATTTTAAAATTATTTGACTTGGCATATGATTGTGCATCTAAAGATCTTTCCCTGTGTTTGTTTTAGGAATTTTTTTTTATTTATGTTTTTGGTTGCAGTTGGACACAATACCTTTATTTCATTTTTTATTTATTTATTTATTTAATGTGATGCTAAAGATGGAACCCAGGGCCTCGCACATGCTAGGCGAGCACTCTACCGCTGAGCTACAATCACAACCCTGTATTAGGTATTTTTAGTGCATTAAAGTTTAAAAGCTTTCTAACAGACACCTCAGAATCCTCTGAGAACCTAAAGCAACGGTTGTCAGAGTGAGCATGTATCAGAGTCCCCTGAGAGTGTGTCCTGGCAGAGATCTCTGGCTCCTACCCAGTTTCTGGTTCTGCAAAGCTGGGGTGGGGTCTAATAATCTGCATTTCTGACAAGTTCCTGGTGATGCTGTTTTTGCTTTAAGACTTCGGCCCTTAAAGTTGTATTTTTTCTCTTCCTTTATCCTTTTCCCTTTTCCAAAACGAGCTAGACCAAATCACAGTTTCCCTGTCACTTAAGTCTTCAGAGCTTAAAGGAGAGTTTACAGGAAACATGTGATAGTTATTTCCCACTTACAGGTCTCCAAGGGAAAACATCCATTTCCATTCCAATTCTTAAAAAGAACCAGAAAATATACGTTTAATTCTTCCCATGATTTGTGTAGGAAATGTTTATGTTAGAACAATAATTTAAGTAGATGTCAGAATTATTAACTGAATATATATATGAATTCATACACACACACACACATACATATATATATATATATATATATATATATATATATATATATATAATTTTCTCCTTTCTCAATATAATTGATGACATATTCCTATAGGAAGGTGTATGTGAAAAGGGAGAATTGCTGGAAGCAGCAAAAGAAGTTACATTCCCTCTCACTGTTCCACTGTCCTCCAAGGAACAGTGTTTTTAAAAATCAGTATTAATTTATAAAGAAGCAATTCCCATACCACAACATTATCATACCCACATCAGTTTTCTTTTTTGAGGAGAAAAAAAATACTATTTCTATCAAAACAAATGTTTTATTACTAAGCAGGCACTAATTTTGTCTTGAAATAGTAAACATAAACAATTAGCCATGTTTATTCTGATAGATTCAAAATAATTTTTCCTACTAAAAAGTTTGAAATACTTAAGTCAGTCATTTGTACTTAATGTACTTAGGACTTGTATTCAGGGACTAGGGTTGTGGCTCAGTGGTAGAGCACTGGCCTAGCATGTGCAAGGCCCTGGTTCAATCCTTGGCACTACATCAAAAAATAAAATAAAGGTATTGTGTCTAACTACATCTAAAAAATAAATAAATAAAAAGACTTCTATGAAGTCTTAGCAAAATTACCTACTGCATTGTACATTTTAAGATTTTCAGACATTGATCATTTATTGTGATAATTCTGGGTATTTTACAGTCCCAGAATTTGTCTTCAAATAAAATATTATAGTTAACTACATGTTCTATCTATATGTAAGCCCTCACTAAGTTGGAAAAAGACTTCTGCAATTTTTATATACCCTTAATTATATAATAATGATAGTTGCCACTTTTGTGAATTTTCTGTTTGCCAATGTTGCCAACCCCTTATGTATATTATTTTTCTTAAGTTACTTAACAAATCCTGTGAAATAGTTAACCCCAACTTTCATACCTTATGTACTCCTGAAAACATGTACAAAAAATTAGATGTGGGATTCCATAACCAGAGTGTTAAACAATAATCATAATGTTCTAAATTATATATTTCCTTTTAAAATATCTCTAATGGTTATTTCTAGTATTTTGTATGTGTCTTTCAGCCATTTTTTTTCTTAAATACACAGTCTAAATGACTTTAGTCTTGTGAGCATCAGATAAAAAGCATGATAGATATATGTGTTATTCTTTCATTTGTTTTATTGTTCTTTATTGCTGGAACTAGAATTGTAATTTTTTGTTTTTTATAAAAACAAAAGTCATTAAGATATTCACTAATTTCCCTGACTAAACTAAACTCCAGTCTGGTAAACTATAGCATTGTGCTAATTCAGTTAATAAAAATTTTAAATTCAGAATTAAAGGGCAGTTTGGAGTAATAGTGTAATATACAGGTGTTTCTGGCATACAGTCACACATGCGTTCTTGGAAAGCCTCACATCCTGAGAGATAATGCATTAGAGTAAGAGGGCTTATGCGGGGGAGCTACACACCACTTAGAACTTACTGAATTTTACAAGAGCCTTAACAAAAATCATATTAAATCTAGTGTAGACCAGTTTCATCAAAACTAAAATTTCAATCTAGGAAGAGCCTTAGTAATTATTTTTTTAAAAGACTTGGAAACATTCAGCTTTTTTATGTATACAGCAAATTTCCTCATTGTTCGATACAATGGAAAATTTAATAATACTTAAAGTAATACTTTCATGAAGCCACAAAACACCTTTGCCTCCACCCCTCGTGCTAGGGATGAACCCAGGGCCTCACATAGTAGGCAAATGCTCCAGTGCCAACATTGCTGCTGAAACCCAAAGAGGTAACTGCTTGCGGGTGGGGCTTCACTTTTTTTCTGAGAACTCTGCCTGTCCACAAAAGCTTTCTTTTTAGTGGAGGAAATCCCCCATGATTTCATAAACTGAGATATCACTCAAGACAGTTAAACCCAGATTGCATTGTTACCGTCATAGGCCTAAATGCAACTTTTGAATTGTTCAGTAATTTGGGCTTTTCAAGCAAATTTGGTTCACAGCAGAATTAAGCAGAAAGTAAACAGAATTCCCACTTATCTCCTGTCCCAAGACACTCATAACCTCCTGCACTGCCCAAGTCCCACATTTGTTATAATCAGTGAACCTACACTGACACATGGTTATTACCCTAAGTCTATTCTATCTGGTTCTCTTTTGGTGGTGCACATACTAAGGATTTTGACAAATGTGATGAGTTTCTACCATTGTAGTATCATACAGAAGAGGTTCACAACCCTAAAAAGCCTCTGGGTCTTGTCTATTCATTCCTCCCTAACTCTGGCTCCTGGCAAACCACTGGTCTATTATCTCCATACTTTTGCCTTTTCTGGAATGTCATATATTTTGAATTGTAGCCTTTCTAATTTGGGCCTTTTTTTAACTTACATATGCAGTTAGTTAAGTTTCTTCCATGTCTTTACATGGCTCAATACCCTCTTTCTTTTTAGCCTGAATAACATTCCATTGTCTGAAAGTACCATACTTTACCCATTTGCCTATATAAAGCACATATTTGTTGCTTCCAAACATTGGATAAAACTATTATCAACATCCGTGTGGGATTTTGTATAGATATGAGTTTCAGTTCATTTGGATAAATACTAAGGAATGCAATTGTTGGGTGGGATGGTAAGAGTATGTTTAGTTTATAAAAAACTACCAAGCTGTACTACTTTGCATTCCCATCAACAGTGAGTGTGCAGCTGTGAATGAGAGCTCCTGTGGCTCAACGTCCCTGCCTGCACTGTTGTAGGTGCAGTACACTGTTGTCAGTGTAGTCAGTATTGTAGATTTAGGTCATTCTAATAGGTATGTGGTAATATCTCATTACTGCTTTAATTTCCAGTTCCATGGTGACATGTTAAACTTTTTTTAATATGATTTGCCATTGGTAAATCCTCTTGGTAAGGTGTCTGTTCAGGTTTTTGTCCATTTTTTAATTGGGTTGTTTACTTTCTTATTGTTGAGTTTTAAGAGGTTTTTTTGTGTGTGTATTTTGGATACAGTCCAGTATCAGATACATCTTTTATATGTGATATGGCTGTCTTCATCTTCTCTTTTCTATTTATTTTTTAGTTTTCCGTGCACACAACATCTTTATTTTATTTTTATGTAGTGCTAAGGATCAAACCCAGCGCCCCGCGCATGCCAGGCGAACGCGCTACTGCTTGAGCCACATCCCCAGCCCTCGTCATCTTCTCTTGACTTTCATGGAGCAGAAGTTTTCCATTTTAATGATGTCTAGCTTGTCAGTTATACTTTCTTTCATGGGTGATGCCTTTGGTAGTCTATCTAAAAAATCATCTTCATACTCAAGGTCATCTAGATTTCCTCCTGTGTTATCTTCTGGGAATTTCATAGTTTTGCATTTTATATTTGGGTCCATGATACATTTTGAGTTAATTTTTATCGGGGGTATAAGTTCTGTGTCTAGTTTATTATTTTTTTTTTTTGCATGTGGATATCCAATTGTTCCAATGTCTGTTATTTAAAAGACTATCTTTGCTCCATTGTATTGCCTTTTTTCCTTTGAGAAATCAGTTGACTATATTTACATAGACCTATTTTGGGGTTCTCTTTTCTGTCCATGGATCAGTTTGTTCTTTTGCCAGTACCACACTGTCTTGATTATTGTACCTTTAGAGTAAGTCTTGAAGTCAAATAGCGTCAGTCTTTCCGACTTTATTCTCCTTCAACATTGAGTTGGCTACTCTGAATCTTTTGCTCTTCACATAAACTTTAGGTTCCATTTCTCTATATCCATAAAATAATTGTGATTGCACTGAATCTATAGACAAAATTGAAAAGAATTGATATCTTGACAATATTGAGTCCTCTTATTCATGAACATGGGATGTCTCTCCATTTACTTATATCTTTGATTTCTTTTATCAGAGTTTTATAGTTTTATAGTATAATTTTATCCATATTTTATTAGACTAACCTAAATATTTCCTTTTGGGGGGTTGGTAACATAACTGGCAATGTGTTTTTAATTGCAAATTCCACTTGTTCATTTGTGGCTTCTGCTTAACTTTTTAAGCAGTTGATGGATGCCTGGAAGTTGACATACATATATATTCAGAAATGTTCTGCCACCTGAGACCTTGGAGGAGGTAAGCTTCATGGTCCAATTTATAGTTAACATTGGGGAAGAAAGGGGAATCTGTTACGCATTTGGTTAATTTCAAGTTCTAAGGCTATTTTATGTTATAGTGGAAGGCAGGAACAAAAAGGGAAAACAAAGTTCACATGAACAGCCAAGTCCTCCAAGAGTCCACTCAGAGCAGAAAGTGAAAAAGAATACTGTCTTTCAGAATATTACTGGGTGTAAAATTTTTTAAGAGAAAAAAAAACGATCACCTTTCCCTTTAGCACAGTCACTTTATGATATTATATTTCAAATATGCAGAACATAGTGTTTTTTTCTTATTTTAGAGTTTAGAAGAGGAAATTCCTATTTATTTTGTGGTAATGGGAATTGACCCCAGGGCTGCCCTACCACTGAGCTACATCCTGAGCCCTTTTAATTTTTTATTTTGAGACAGGGTAAAAAGTTGCCTAGGCTGGCCTCAAACTTGCAATCCTCCTGCCTCCCAAGTAGCTAGGATCAGAGACATGTACCCTGAAGAAATGACTATTTGTAATGAGAATATAAAAGGGAAGGTTCTAGGGGGAATGGGTACCATACCTCCTGGTACACAGTAGTATGTGGTAATTGTTAAATAAGCAAATACAACTTGGAAAGGTGGAAGTGGGTGGCAGGGAAGATTATTAGGGCTCTATAATCATGTAGAAGAAAGGGAAAAAAATGAGGAAGATCACTGGAGACCTGACTGGGGGTTTCTGTAAGAATTGGAGATCACATTGGAAAGATAGATTGGGCAGCTTCAAATACCGGACTAAGTAGTAGATTTTATTCTACAGAAATTGTGGGAGCCATCACAGGTGTTTGTGTCAGGACTACAGTGAGTGGGTTTTAGGAAAGTTAACCTATTGGTGGCAGGCAGTGTGGTTAGGGAAAGAAACAGGAAAGTAGACTAATTGTGGTACCGTACAGTCCGTTTCTGTGGTGATGCTAATTGGCCAGAGAAAGTGGAAAGAAGAAATGATTTCAAGGAACTATAAAGTGACAAGTTTCAAAGTAATTGAACATGGGTACGAGTAGTGAGGTAGCTTGGATTTTAGGTTTTGACAACATTAGGAAAGGAAAAAAATAACTCCTCCTTATTTAGATATGTAAAATTTAAGAGATTGGCAGAACCAAGTGTCCGTCATATACTTGGAAATGAGAACTACAGCTCAGAGGGGGAATAAGAAGAGTTGTCACTGTCGTCTACTTAGACAAACTTATGTTGAGGACTTTAATCCTTGGCTTATTGTTTCCTTTACTTACTGTTCAAAGGCCTGTTGAAATTCTTAATGTGGAAACTATACATTGACTTTATGAAAGGTTCAAATACATGCAAAAAACAGAAGGTAATCTGAAAATATGTTGGTAGTCTCCAGATTGTTGAAAAATCTCCAGAAAAGATTCTTTTCTTATTAAATAAGAATTTTAATAATTATTATACATTAAAATAATGTCTTATTTTAAAAAGTAAAACCTTAAAAAAAAGATGTAAAACCTTTCCAAAGACTCAGCACACCTACCATATCAGAAAGAATGTGTGCACAAAAGCTAGATCTTCTTTTTAGAACTTTTAGAATAGTAAAGGTAAATTATAACATTTAAAAATAGGTGTAGCAAGACATGATGACACCTAGTCCAAGCTAATCAGGAGGCTGAGGCAAAAGGATCATTTGAGCTCAGCAATTGAAGGCCAGCCTGAGCAACATAGCAAGACCATGTCTCAAAAATATTAACTAAAAACAGGTTTCATGGCATGCTTTCCAAAAATTGCAGATAATTTCTTTTTTTTTTTAATATTTATTTATTTATTTATAGTTATTGGCAGACACAACATCTTTGTTTGTATGTGGTGCTGAGGATCGAACCCAGACCGCACGCATGCCAGGCAAGCGCGCTACTGCTTGAGCCACATCCCCAGCCCAGATAATTTCATTTGGACTTAAAAACTATACTTTTCTTTTAGTTGGGGAAAAACTATTGTAAAAACATTCCAGGTGGATTATGCCAAAATTTCACAATTAGAATATTAAGTTATCCAGCTAAAATAATGTTGTTAACACACACTAGTGTGTGTTTTAAAATAAAAAGATGTCTTCCATCTCTTTATAAACGTCGTAATTATCAAACTATTTTCATTATGGAGAAATTACACTATTGGATATTGAATTTTTTTTTCTTCTGAGGAAGAAAATTTACAAAGAAAATTATCATTTGCCATGAAACCAGTTAATATTTCAAAATGGACTAGGGAAGGGAAATTTTATTATTATTTAGTATTTCTCATATTGAATCAGAGGAATTTATTATAACCACTATTTCAGAACCCTAATAGATTTCAGAAAACCACAGGTTTCTATCTTGGTTCTCTGATATTTCCCATGTATAGTACTAACTTGACTATAACTGCACATGTTGGGGATATGAGTCTGTGCTCAGAGTAATCAGGCCACGTCTCTTTGAAAGGTTCTGTCTAGAAAAGATTCTGCCTCACTGGTTCCACTACTCAAGAGCTTTATCAGGAGCAGAAGCAGTCAATGCCTTGAGGCCTTTCTATTTCGCAGTCCACCCAGATTTCTTTGGACAGCATCCCCGAGAAAGGGTAAATCTTTATTTATTTTTTAACCTGTTGTCTCTATTTGTTTACCTCTGACATTATATAATATAGAGAGTTCTGTAAATTTGGATTATTCTGTCATGGTGATATAATTAGTGCTTTGATCAAATTTGAAATATAGAAACTTGAAAATTAGTAAATTTTCAAATAAAATTAATAAAAAGTAAATACTGGAAATTGGAAATATAATGATTGTTTTTTATGAAAATTGTCATTGTTCTTATACAGGCCATAAAGTTTCCATGTAAACTTTGGAGTATTAGTAGTCATACTTTCTTTTTTAAAATTTTTGTTTATTTATTTATTTATTTTATTATTCTTATTCTTATTATTATTATTATTATTGGTACCAAGGATTGAACTCAGAGGCACTAGACCACTGAGCCACATCCTCAGCTCTAAATATTTTATTTAGAGACAGGGTCTCACTGAGTTGCTTACAGCCTTGCTTTTGCTGAGGCTGGCTTTGAACTCACGATCCTCCTGCCTCAGCCTCCCAAGCCACTGGGATTACAGGCATGCGCCACCACGCCGGCATAGTAGTCATATTTTCTGTACCAGTTCTTGGATTAAAATTGAGGATCTGAAATAAAACTTAAACCTCTATCATCATAGTCAGTCCTGTTTTTAAGGATGTTTCAAGGAATATTTTGCAATGCCCTAGTAATTTTGCTTTAGGATTGCCTTCTTACAATTTCAGTTACTGTGTACAAATGGATAAGGAAAAAAACATGATAAACTTAGGACAGTCAATATTTTTAACATTAGATAATAATAGAATTACAAAGCCAAATGCTTTGGAATTATTTTATTGGTTCCTTTCATCTTCATCAATATCAGTACCTGATTTGACTTGAAAAGGAACTTAAACTCTTGAAAATTAGTACTTTTTTTTTGTCCTTTGCTATCTACAGTCAAAAATATACCAATTTTACTTATTTGCTCTAGGAAGATAATCCTTATTGATATTTCCAACATATGTTGACTACACAAAGTCACAAACTTTCAAAGTAATTATTAAATTGATTCAACAGAAAGTTATCTGTTACCTTGGGGAATTGTTTTTAAACCTGGAAGCAAAAAAAATGAACCTATTAATGTTTGAGTGTTTTCCCTTACCTACAATGTCTTTAAATCACAGCCTCTGTGTGCTGTAAAGGATTAACTCAGTGAACTTGGGTTGCTTAAGCCCTGCACACTGCAAAGAACTGGCTTCAGTGCTGGGAGATGAACCTTGAGCCTTTGGAATGTCCTGCCTGATGAGAATGAACTATAGGATAAGACCATCTAACAGGAACTGTCAGCCATGCCACATAGTTTATGCTAACAGTGTGATTCATGGTAAATACATCTTTTCCTCATATAAGGCCCTGGGTCACATTATCAATTTGACCTCTAGGGTCTGCTAAAGACTGAAAAACTAAAGTTAGTAACATGGATACTACATAACTATATGACTGGCCCCCAGTTAAACCCTGGATACCAAGGCTTGAATGAGATTCCCTAATGGGCAGCACTTCTCATTTTTCCTGTGCATCACTGCTGGGGGACTAAGCATTGTCTGTAAATCTCCACTGAGAAAAAACATCTGGGAGCTTGTCCTTGGCCTCTCCTGGACTATGCTCTATGTGCCTTTTCCCTGGCTGATTTTAATTTGCCCTCCTTCTGTTGTAATAACCGTAGTTGTGAACATAACTGCTCTTCTGAGTTCTGCAAGTCTGATCTAGGGTACCCTGACAATGTGCCTGGAGTTTAATTGCTTTTCTGACTTTACATTCTTACTCTTTTGCCTTGTATTTTTGAGTGCCTTCCCTGTGCAGTCCTTTGCATAAGCTGCTCCCTCTGCCTGAGACATCCTTCCCCAGGGTATCCCTGATACGCTTGCTCTCTACGTTCTCACTGAAACATCACCTTTCAGTAAGGCTCTCCCAGGCTATTTAAAATTGCTACCCCACATTGCCTCCTGCAGTCCTTTTCCTCCTTACACTGCAGTGCTTTTTTCTGTTTTTAATTTTTTCTTTTCCAGGTATCCTATGTCCTTATTTATGAAGTTTATTGGTCTTTTTTTTCCCCCTACCCTTACTGAAATGCAGGCTTGTTGCAGGAACTTGTTCCTACACACTCACCCAGTCTTCCCTTTTACAGGAAGCAGACCCAAGTCCCATTTGGTCATAGCATCAAGCTCAAGGTCCAGGATCTCACACTGATGCAGAGTTGTTGTTTTAAATCCTCGTTAACTAATCTTAAAATATGTAAAACATTTATAAATTTGAAAGGTCAAAATTAAATATAAAGCTCACTGAGAAGTCTCGTTTCCATTCTTATCTACTTTATTCCATTTCTCTTCACTTCCTATAGATAATCATTTTTGTTAATTTTAGTGTTATTCTTCCTTTGTTTCTTTTTTTAATATCTTTTAGTTGTTGATAGACTTTTATTTTATTTATTTATATGTGGTGCTGAGAATTGAACCCAGTGCCTCATACATGCCAGGCAAGTGCGCTACCACTGAGCCACAGCCACAGCCCCTATTCTTCCTTTGTTTCTTGACAAAAATAGAAACATGTATCAAAAATAATTTGGAAGATTTTATCACACTAGCAAAAAATGTACCTGACTTATGAACTCTCATAGCTAAGAACATCATATTATAATAAATTCAACATATGAAAATAAACAATGATTTCTTCTAATTTCCAATCACACTGTGTGCCTGAGAAGAGGCTTAGAGTAACAAGAAGCATGATTATTGATGCCATTCTTCTATAGAGCTGTTCCTTCACTAAAGTGCATTTCTTCTTTTCACATGACAGTATATGCTGGAAATCACTCCATTGCAGTTCATTGATATCTTCTACATCAACTTTGTCTTCGTCTTGATTCCCTAGTACTTCATTGATAAGAGCTCTATAGGGCTGGGAATGTGGCTTAGTGATAGAGCACTTGCCCAGCATGTTCAAGTGTCTGGATTCAATCCCCATTGCACGAAGAAAAAGGAAAATCCCAATTTTTTAAACTAGATTATTAAATAACCTCAATAGTGTTTAAAAGGTTAGATACAGTTTCTCTTGTGTCCTTTTTCTATTTTGTCTTAAATGCTATTCATACTTTTTTCCAGGAAGTCAATGAAAATTCTCTTAAGAGATTAAGTGTCTACTTAGAAAACCTCCAGAAACCAGGCTTCAAGTCTTTGAAACCAACTCCACTTACATTTTATGTAAGAGAAACAGACCAGAACCCCTCTGATGGCCAGGAACCCTTTAGTTCTCCCGGTACGTGGTCTTATTTCTAGTGTGTCCCTTGCAAACTGCATGCTACATATATTCATTAATTTTGACCTTGCTAAGGAATACCTTTGGATTGAAGCCTTGGTCATTGAAAAATAGTATCACTTAATTCATTGTTTTTCTAGGGTTAGATTGTATTCCTAACTGCATGTCTTTGGATAAGCCATTTTTTATGTTGTTGTTGTTTTTTAACTGTCTTGTCTGTAAAACTGAAGTACCTGTTTGTCTCCTTATTTCAGTGTTGTCTTAAGTGTTAAGCATGTCTATAACAATTTATACTTCTAAAAACTATAGTTTGCATTCTCTCATTTAGTGCCAACAGTACCTAAGAGGTTGATAGTATTTGCCCAGTTGTAACAGTAATGTTCAGTGACTTTCCCAAGACCCTAGAGATAGACTGTGACCTTGAATCCAGGTCTCTGAACTCCCACCTCATGCTGTTTTGAAAATCTAACCAACTGTAACACAGCCTTTTTCCCAGTACTTTTTGTCAAGGTTTTAGTTATAATCAGTAATTCTTCATTGGGGACAAATGTTTTGGTAGGTAAAAAGCTTTGAAGGACTATCTTTTATCCAAGTGTGTGTGTGTGTGTGTGTGTGTGTGTGTGTGTGGAGAGAGAGAGAGAGAGAGAGAGAGAGATCTCCTTTGGCAATCCTTGAGGGAATAACCTTATTTTTAGAATAAACTTAAAACCATTTGAAGATTTACTAAGAGCTTTTTGTGAGTAAAGGCTAAAACAATTAGAAAATGCATTATAATTTTTTTAAACAAACTATTATTTGTTTTGGGAACAGAATTTGGGAAGTCTTTTGAGACCTAGAATCTGTGTCTAACTCTACCAGTAATGAGCTGTGTGACTTTAACTTAACTTTGGGGTCTTCATTGATCAAGGTGAAGACCCCAGAGTGCTGTGTAGAGACCACTGGAGATCCCTCACTTCTGCCTAATGTTCAGGAGGCGCTCAGGACCTAGGGTGTAAAGGGAAGGGCTCCATCTAAAGATTGCCTGAGGAGAGTCTCAATGTTGATAATGGCTTCCCACCTGGCCTTTTCAGGGACCAGAATTTCATGCTATATTTTCTCCAGTCTTTTCCTCTCCTATGGGAGATCAAGAATCACAAATTCCTTTTCTTGACAGTTCTCCATCTACCTCTGATTTAGAGTTTTACTTAAAATCACCCCTTGTTTGTCATTATCCAGAGAGAAAAAGTCAACTTATAGCCCTTTTTTAAAGAAACAGCTGTGTTGAAGAATGCTATAAATAATAATAAATAGTAACTGTATCATTTTAAGTGATACAATTCCGTTTGAAAGTGTAAATAATCATTATTTGTTTAAAGCATTGTAAATATGCCCTTCTTAGCTATGGGAGTCCCGTGAGACATATTGTTTGCTAGTTTCAGACCAAGTGTTCATAGTGTTACTTAATGGATAGTGTTTCTATTATTAAACTTCAAGATTAGTCTAGGAATTTTCCAGGCTCAGTAGCGCAAACCTTTAATCCCAGCTGCTTGGGAGGCTGAGGCAAGAGAATCAAAAGTGTGAGGCAAGCCTCAGCAACTTAGCAATACCCTATTTCAAAATGAAAAAAAAGGGCTGAGGTATAACTCAGTGGTAGATCACCCTAGGTTCAGTCCCCAGTACCTAAAAAAAAAAAAAAAAAAAAAGGCTAGGAATTGAAGAAACATCATATTAATAACATCAGTATTCTTAGGTTTCTCCAAGAAAACAGATGAAATTAATAAAGGCAAATTATACCTTTTACAGTTCTTAAAATAGTATCTCCAGTCTATTTGTATGTGTCTAGGAGAGTCACTCTGAGGTCTACAACTACTACTTGCCACTACCACCACTAGCTTAAATACTGAATATATATGTAGTTAAAGAATAAGCTGAATTTGAAAGCTTAGAATGAAACTTAGCTCCACACAGCAAATTAAGGGCAAAGCTGATACTTAGAGCTAATGTTCCCTTATTCCTAGCCCAGTGGTTTGATTTATAAACCATACTGTCTATTGATGATTCTTTAAAATATTGCTAGTACTCATTTTTTGCCTTTGCCTTTATGACACAGATTAGCACTTTTTTTTTTTTTTTTTTTTTTTTTTTTTTTACAGATTAGCACTTTAACAAAGCCTTTAAACACATTTTTCTTTAACATTTTTATTCAATTGTAAAATTAAAATCAGTTTTTTTTTTCTTAGAATACTAAAAATCATTAATCAGCCTTTCATTGGTAATTAAGATGTTAGTAAGATAAAACATTTATTCCTTTTTTTTTATCACGGAAATTTAAGAACCATTTTATATTATTAAGACATTGAAATTTTTAAAGGCCTAGTCATTTCTTCAGTTCCATATTTTCTTGATTGCCCATGAGAAAATAAGGTTTATTGTTAAAATAAGTTTTATTTTAAGAACTTTCTGTGAATTAATGCTAAAACAAATCACTGTAGCCAGCTCTGACTATATAAAGATAAAAAATCTTCTACTTTCAGTTAAAGGTTGTTTTCAACTATTTATTAAACAAAACTAAGTTATTGAAAAACATTAAGAATGAGAGAAAACATAACATACATGACCAAAAGACAAAGTTAATATATAAAGAGTTCTTACAAATCAAAAAGAGAACACAGCAGATCATCATTTAAAAAAAAAAAAATGGGCAAAGTCAATGAAGAACAGCTCAGGAAATAATCCATATATATAGACAATAAAAATGGTTAGCCTCCCATGTACATATACTATATCAAAATACATTCTGCCATGTATAACTAAAAAGAACAAATAAAAATTTTAAAAATGCTTAGCCTCAGTATTCAGGTACAAATTGAAATAATTAGGTACTATTTGCTACACAAAGACATGTGCACTCTGATATAGGCAATCCTCAGTATATAGCAGTCCTTTCATTGGGTTAAATAATAAATTGATAAATTAAGAGAGAAACAAATTTCTTCCTTGACTTAGCTATTTTAAGGAAAAACTATTTCTTCCTCACCTACAATGTAGGGTATGGATTTTCTTATCCTCCTTCACTAACTGGAAAAATTCTCTTTCCTGTAGCATACACTTCATCATCAAATGAATCGGGTTAAAAATCTCTCAGTTTGCACATTCTGTATTTTATAAGTCTGTGGCAAACAGAAGATGTATCTCTGAGAATGATTTCAATTTTGGTATCATCAGTTGCAAAGACAAGAAAACACATTTCAGTCTAGTATGGAATGGTGAAAAACTGAAATCAACTTATAAGTCCATCACTATTGGAAATCATTAAATAAATTATACTATAGTCATGAAGTGGACTAGTATGTAACTGCTAAAAAGAATGAAGCTGATTTATACATACAGATGTAAAAGAGTCATCAACATTAAGTGGCAAAGGCAATTTCAAAATAACATATCCAGATTGACACCATTTACATATTAAAAATGAACTATGCAAACCATGTAAGCACATATGCATATATGTGTGTGTGTGTGTGTATGTGTGTGTGTAATACACAAGCACATAGAAAAGGTTTAGACCAACACTGTCCAAGAAAACTCTGCAGTGAGGGAAATAGTCTGTGTAGCTCTTGAGCACTTCCGAGGTAGCGAGTTTTGATCAAGGAAGAAAACAGCGCAATGGATTTCCTGTTGACGATTTAACAATTTAGGTTTCCAAACTTTGCCCAACATCAAAATCAGACTGTAGAAGCACTAACTTTTAAAAAAAAAAAAAAAAATTTATTTATTTATTAAGTGTAGATGGACACAACATAATGCCTTTATTTTTATGTGGTGCTGAGGATCGAACCCAGGTCCCGCCCAAAGCACTAACTTTTAAGCAATTAGATCATTTTTTTTTTCTGCAATACTGGGGCTGGAACCCAGGGCTTTGCACATGGTTAGGCAAATGCTGTATGACTAAGCTGCATACCTAGCCCAACAATTAGGTAATTTTAATCACTACTAAAAGTATTATGTTACTAGCTAGTTGGGTGGACAAGTAAAGGGACAAGAAAATTCAAGATGGGTTTCTGTAACCACAGACTAGACAACCTACCCTCCTCATCTGAGCCACTGTAACACTGCGGGAGCTCACATGCTCACTCTCTGTACTGGACTTTGGGGAGACCTGCTCATAGAGCAGCTTTCCTATCTGTTCAGAGACCACATTCATGGGCAGCATTGATGATAATTTGAACCCCTTCTTGGGTGGGAATGGGGTTAGTCACTGAACTAGAATGCAGCTGATGTTAAAGCAATTCGTGAAGGTAAAAATAGCATTGTATGTTTTGGAGAGAGGCAGCAATTTCCCATTCACAGATGAATTTTAATCAGTAATGGAATGTTTTGAAAGATTTTGATTTTATAAATGTTGCATGAAAAGATTTTTAAGCTACAGCAAATAATCATCTGTAATAATTGTTTGGGGGAATTATATTCTCTAGGATTTCGAGCAGTCAAATTTACTTTGCACACCAGAGATCTTCTAAGCACAGTATTATATATTCTCAACTCCTGCAGTTTATCTGTTGAACATATCCAAAGCATGAACACTAATGTGCATTCCCAGCCTCTCAAAGAAACTAAAAGGATGTCTGACAGGCCCATCAAATGGGACAAGTCTTACTACTCCTTTACTGGATTCAAGGACCCTGATGAAGACCTTGAACAAGTCTCGAGAATAGAAACAACCCTAACGTATGTAAAAGTTTGTATTTAACTAAACTGCATTTGTAGTTCATGTTTAAAATTCAAGTCTAATTTTCCAGGAAAACTAATCCTATCAATATCATTACTCCAGTCACCATTATGAAAAAGATATATTTATTTCTTAACATTGCCAAAATATTTCCAACTGTTTTTTTGTTTTTTTAAGTCTTTTGATTCTAAATGTATGTAAGAGATTATTTTAAGTTTTTGAAATTCTGTTGCAAGTTGCACCTAGTATATGGAATAGGACTGTATCTAAGACTGTGGAAGATTTTCAAGCTTTTTTACATATTGAGCAGCATTTTTTTTTTTTTTTTTTTTTTTTTTTTTTTTTGAGAGTTCACTAGTAGTGTACTTCAGTATAATAATACATAACACTGAAAAAATATACAGGGAGGGGCCTAGGTTGTGGCTTAGTGGTAGAGCGCTTACTTAGCATACATGAAGCACTGGGTTCGATCCCTGGCACCACATAAAAATAAAAACAAATAAAATAAAGTATTATGTCCATCTACAACTAAGAAGTATATTCAAAAAAATACAGTGAAGCATTATAAAATGTCATCTTGAATAGATTACTTGCCAAACTAATGTTTTTAATTATGAAAAACAGATACAAAATATTTCTCTGTCTTTTGGCGTGTCTTGTTTGCTAAACCACCATTAATGTTTTTTGAGAAAGTCATTTTTAGACTCCATAAGGACCCATCACATTCCTTTTCTATGGCTGTATCTAAAGCATCCAGTCCTTTACCAAGGGATTCTGACTTGCTGCAGTTTAAGAAATGAGCCTTAACTATCCAGTGGCTTATCATCTGCTTCATGGGGATTATCTATACTAACTCTAGAACTCCTCACTTGTTCTCTATCTAGATTCCAAAATCCAGTCCAGAAAGGGGGACAAATGTGCATCTGAGGGCACATGTTTATGTACCTGTGTAAGAGTCCAGCCATGGTATTTGTTCATATGTGTAACTAATGGATAAATCACCTCCCTAAACCTAGAGTTTTAAAATACAATTTTTTTTAGTTATAGATAAACACAGTACCTTTATTTATTTTATGTGGCGCTGAGGATCAAACCCAGTACCTCAAACATTTGAGGCAAGTGCTCTACCACTCAGCCACAACTCCAGCCCTAAACCTAGATTTTAATTGTTCAAATTCTATTCTATAAACAAAACCGAAATGAAAACATGAGATTGGGAATGATAATTTTAGTCCAGAATTAATGAGATAGTAAGAAGGGTAAAAGTGAAGAGCATCAGGGTGGGATAAAAGTTGATATACTGGAAATTTGATTTGGAAAAACAGAGGGAAGGATGAAGGGCAGCTGCCCTAGGGACTGTATTGGGAATTGAAATGATTGCCATGAGCAGGGGATGACAGGGATCTGCTCAGCCTTGGATGCCTGAGATACAAGTCCAACTTCTGGGCTGGGGACACAGCTCAGTTGGTAGAGTGCTTGCCTTGCATGCCCAAGGCCCTGGGTTTAGTCCCCAGCACCACAAAAGAGAAAACAGAAAGTCCAACTTCTTAGACTCTGAGGATGTTGCTCTGCTTACCTATGTGCTGAGCCAAAAAAAAAAAGGGAGGGGGGGCCTGGGAAATGTCTGGCCTAAAGGGTATAGAAAGGAAATGAGATTGGATAAGATAAGACACAAATGACAGTTGAAGGGGCTTAAGGAAAAAGTGTCAAAGAAGCAGTTAGTCTGTGGCTCAGTTGAGTGAGCTAGAGATTATGCAGCCATTATGAAAAGACTGTCCCCAAGTGCCCAGAACCAAGAGCTAGTCAGCTGGCAAAACAATGGAGAAAAAAATTAAAACTATAAAATGGAAGTTCAACAAGATAAGTGGCATTCATCAGACTTTCTTGTCTACTCAGAGTCTTTATCATTTCTCTTTTTAAATATTCTTCTAATAAAAATCTTTAGTCTTTAATAAATGCAGTAGACTTTGTTTTATTATACTGATAGGCTCTTAAGAGTAATGTTTTCAGGCTGGGGTTATGGCTCAGCGGTAGAGCGCTCGCCTCGCATGTGCAAGGCCCTGGGTTCGATCCTCAGCACCACATAAAAATAAATAAAATAAAGTTATCGTGTACAATTACAAAAATATATATTTTTTTTTAAAAAAAGGAGTAAGAGACATGTTTTAATCATCTCTTTGTGTACTTATTTACTCATACATCCATAGTACCCACCCAGTAGTTTTATTGACCTGCATTAAAGAATTTAAAGAGCCAGGTGTGGTGGTATACTCCTGTAATCCCAGCAGCTCAGGAGGCTGAGACGAGGAGGATCAAGAGTTCAAAGCCAGCCTTAGCAACAGCGAGGCACTAAGCAACTCAGTGAGACCCTGTCTCTAAATAAAATACAAAATAAGACTGGGGATGTGGCTTGGTGTTTCAGTGTCCCTGAGTTCAATCCCTGGTACCAACAAAAAAAGAACTTAAAGAATTAATATGAATGTGTTGGAGGACTCACAGTTTAATAATATGGAAACATAAAGTAGCTTAATAAAGATGGTAGCAATGGAAGTATCTTATTAATGAATGTAGATGGTCATTTTTCTTATAGTGCCCTGTTAATTTCATTAATATTCACTAAAAGATAACTGCTAATTTTAGCAAGAGACACATGTCATAGGTCTGAGTTTAGGTGAATTAGTTGTGATACTGTGATCTCCTCCAAGGTATACTTGGTTTTAAATTCAAGGTCTTATTTTGACAATTATAAACACAGACTCAAAAAATTCATTTTTGTCTCCTCATCTACCCTTAAAGAGGCAGCAACATTGTTTTAGAAATTAGCCAGGGAAAATTTAACTCTCCAATTTATTGATCATTATTTTTCAATCCAGTTGTCAATAGCTGATTATCTTGACAGACATTGATGTAAATATATTATTAGCCAGATAGAATCTTTGTTTTCTTAGCTTCAAAAGTGAAATTAATAATGACATAGAATTATAATGGATAGTTGTATTCAGTTTTTAATGCTTATTTTAGGGGCCTTAGATTATATTTCTTGAGCATTATTATCTTTGTAACCTGAACTAGATCATCACACCTCACGTGGTTTGAATTTAGCTTTTAAAAAGTGTAATTTTAGAGTAGAGGATCCTAGCAGGGTACAATGAGAGAGAACAGAACTGTGCAGAACAAAGGCAAGAAAAGGAATTCTCTCTTGTGGCCCTCAAAGTGAACTGTAGTGTAGACTAAATGCCTTCACCATCATGCCTTAGAGTGCGGATGAAGTTACACCTGTATTAATTTGAAGGATTTCATATCTCTTATTTCCCTAACTCTGTTAGTTATCTTTGCATCACTATGACAAAATACCTGAGATAAACAACTTATAAGGAGGAAAGGTTTATTTTGAGTCATAGTGTCAGAGATTTTGGTACACGGCTGATTGGCCCTCTTGCTTTAGACCTGTGGCAGCCCAGTATGTCATGAAGGAGCATGTCATAAGGAGGTCTGGTTCACCTTCTGGCAACCGGAAGCCAAAGAATAGAAAAGGAAGGGGCTAGCATACCAATGTCCCCTTGAAGAGCACATCTCCAGTGATTTAACTTCCTCCTAGTTGGCTTCACCTCCAGAAAGTTCCATTACCTCCTGATAGCACCATAGGCTGGACACCAAGCCTTCAACATGTGAGCAGTTGGGGGCATTCAAGATCCAAAGTACAACACCCATTTTTTTTTCCACAGAAAAGTTATTGTTTTCCCCTTTAATTAGGTTTTTTTGTTTGTTTGTTTGTTTGTTTGTTTTTTGAGGAGATACTTAAGACTATGTAAATATCCTTTTATTTATCAGATATTTATTTACCCCTAACTCTAATTCACTGACGATTCTTGCCTGAATCACATTGCTTTCCTGGTTGCCAAATGTTTCCTTTTAACTGATTCCTGTGTTCCCAGCATTCCTTGAGTACTCCATTTCATTCTAGTTCATCAAGATGTTCCAAGCTCATCTGAACTGTCTCTGCCCCACTGTTTGGTTCAGCCATTTTTCTAAGAAGCTTTGATTCTTTTTAGTAGGGAGTGTTTATTAGAAACCAGCATCTGTGTGCTCCACATACTTAATTGCTATTGATCTTCTGTGGCCAGAGCTAGGAAACACATATCTTCATCTTTGTGAATTAAAAAACATATTTATCTCCAAAATAATTAAAATTTGTTAATAAAAATTGTTAACTAGACCAGTTGATTATTATATATTAATAGTAAGAATTCTAGAGTCATGAATGCATAATTAAAAGATTATATTTCAATATACTTTTTTTTTTTTTTTTTTTGGCGGAACTGGGGATGGAACCCAGGGCCTCGTGCATACTAGGTGAGCGCTCTCCCATTGAGCTACACCCCCAGCCCTTCAACCTACATTTTAAGACATTTTGATCCCCAAACCAAACATGGTATGTCATTTGATACTACATTCATTATGCTTTCTCTTACATGATTTAAAGTAAACTGAATAACATGTATTAATAAGTGAAGAAAGGTTGAAAAATGTAATGCAATACCTAATAATAGTGATATAAATTAAGATATTTTTTATTTAATTTCTTATTTATCACATACCATTCAAAAGTAACAAAATGTTTGCTAATATTCTTAAAGGAATGATCATTGACTGCTGTTCCAAATTCATGTTATCAATTTTAAACACCTTTTCCTAGAGGATGAGGTCCCAGTTCTTAATCCTGGCATGCAAGAGCCTCTGTGGTCTGCTTCCTCCTGCCCTACTTCTTCAGTCTCATCTCCTGACCCTATGCAGGTGTCGTATAATCTGAGCATATTGATTTATCTTATAGGTTCTATGTACTTGCATGATTGACATGCCCTCCCCTCTTAGTTATCTGTCTAGGAAAATCAAGATACATCTCTTAGGTTCCAGATCACACATCACCTGTTCTACAGAACCTTCCAGGGAGAATTAATTGTTGCTTCCTCTCTTCTGATAATATTCTATTTTCTCCTATTCTGTTTTTATTGTTTCTCTCTATTTTTCCTTATTAGGTATGTCTTCCTTTACAGCAGGGACTTTATTTCTTTTTATCCACAACTCAATGCAATATATATTGAGAATAAATGTTTGGTGAATACATAATGATTTGTTTGATTCTAAACTGAATACTTTTCTAAATGATTTAGATCACAACATCTTAAACCTTTAAAGTGACTATGAAGGAAAGTTTAAAGGTTTTTGCCCATGTTTTTGAGATGGACATGTGAATTCTGCAGCATGATTTTAATATGTGACCTTCACTGACATATTCCACAGGGTTTCAGGTGCCCCCTTGATGATGAGCTCCATGACACATCTGTTTGTTCTTTAGATATATTTCCCCCCACTCTTCTGGAGTTTTCTCTTGCACACCTATGCCTAGATCCCAAACCACCACTATACCTAGGACTCTGAAACCTTCCTTCAGCCTGTAGTCACCTTGCCATTCTACCCCTGCCCACACATCTGCAGCAGCTCTTCAGCCCACAGGGCTCTACCCAGGTCTTTTCATTTCTCCAGACTTCCCTTGGGGAGCCAGAGTCCCTGAGCACCAACAGAAACATCCATGTCATGATGCTCAGAGCACCCAGTAAGAGACAGTCTCCATTAGGCAGTGATACTTTCTGGAAAGCCACATAGCCTCCCTTTCCACTCCTTTCTGAAAGCTGTCCCCTGCTAATCCTTAAAGTATTTTTTTATATTTTTTTTCTTATAAGACTATTGAGGAAAATATTCTAAGAAATAAGAATTGGAAAACATCTTTCTACCGAGCCTATTGTATTATATAGCTGATGTAGTTGAAATGAGACTTACACTGGGCATTTAGTTGGATGAAAAGAAATGGAGGTGCAAATGAGCACCAGGTTAGTGAAGAGACCTACCTGGAAGGAGCAGGTATTTTGGGAAACCTTGTGGCCAAAGAACTAAATCTGTAAGGCTGACCAGTGGAAGGATTTGGATAGAGGGATAAGGGAAGATGCACTGAGAACTTGGAGTACTGAAATCCAAGCTTAAAATAAAGGGAGAAATTGAATTCTACAAAGCTACAGTCCACAAACAATTATTTTCAAGTTCCTTCCTCAAGGTGCGCCACTTCTTAATGTCATTGGTGTCAAACTCTTTGGGTTTGATTTTAACAGCTTATGAGCCCTACTATAATATTATTTGCTCACTTGCTGTATAATTATTAGTTCTGCTCTCATGTGTGTATAGCTGATATAAATGAGGATCTGATATAATACAGTCTCTTGAATGCTGCAGCAAACCTAAATGAAAGATTTAGAATTATCTTTACTTTCTTAAAAGTTATCCCATCTCCAGAAATCTAGTGACAGTTTTGGTGCGAATTAAATTTATTTTTTTATGGTCTATAAAGGAAATTGTCATAACTAGAATGTTACTTGGCAGGTGCTGGCAGTCCTCCAGACAGCCTCTCTTAAAAGTAGATATTTCTTTAGAAGAATAGACTTGTTAGAAGTAAAGGTTTGACTGAAAACTTGGTGTAACATTGGAGCTGCTTTAAGATAACACATATGTCTTTTAACATTATAGTTAGCATTGCAAAGTGTATGACTCTTTTTTTCTTTCTTTCTTTCTTTCTAGATCCTGGTTAGATAACAATGGGAAAAGTGCTATTAAAAAGCTGAAGAATAGTTTGCCCCTTAGAAAAGAACTGGATCGTTTAAAAGAGGAGCTGTCCCATCTCTTACAACTCTCAGATATTAGGTAATAAAAAAGAGAACCTAATTTAGAGGTTAAAATACACACAAATCACCTACTAGTAAGACTTCCCAGCTGCTAAAATTTGCATCTTTAACTTTAATTATTCTGATAATTAAGTATTCTTCAGTTGACTTCTTATGAACATAATCAATTATTCATGTATATAAGAAAACTATTATTAATTTCTTAAAGTATTGCTTAATTTCTGACATGTTTAGAATAATGCTTTAAGTTTTTTACATGATGAATTTGTGAAAAAGAATGCCCTTTTCCATATACGTGTAATATATAATAAAAAAAAAAAAAAAAAATATATATATATATATATATATATATATATATATATATATATATATACGTGTAATTTTTATCATGTATAATTGGTATTTGAGACTTTAAAAAATGGGCAAAAGAGGAAGTGATGGGGCTGGGGTTGTGGCTCAGAGGAAGAGCACTTGCCTAGCATGTGTGAGGCACTGGGTTAGATCCTCAGCACCACATAAAAATAAAATAAGGGTATTATATCCACCTACAACTATAAAATAAATGTTTTTAAAAAAGAGAAGTGGATGTTGTATTCTTAATTTCATGTCATATATAGCACAACTATTTAAGTTTTCATAAACTTGGAAATTATATATAGTAGAAATTTATTATGAAACCAGACTTAACAGCTCTTAGTAAGGAAGGGGCCAGATGATTTTGTCCTGGGACTTCCGTTACTAGAGCCCTGGAAGTGTCACTCTCATGTTCAAACAGTTTATTGTTTTCAACCCTCATCTTCAGTATTTTTGTCTTTTATTGAATCCAGTGACTATTTGGGTACCATAATGTCACCTTTTTTTGTAGCTTATAAGAAAATTCAAAGCAAAGCATGTGGGATGTTTGAGTGTGTGCTTATAGCTGTTCTTTTATCAATCCATCCTGATATGAGGATTGTTCTAACTCCATATTCTGTGTGTTAGTTTTCTGTGTGCAAGTTAAGAAAAAATGTCTATGTTACTAGACTGCTATAGTTTTGAACCAGGGATTGAACTGAGATAAATCAGTTTACATAGAGAAAAGGGTTGTTTTCACTCACAGTTTTGAAGTTTCCAGTCCATGATTGGTTGGTCTGTTGCTTTTTGACCTGTGGCAAAGCAGCACACCATGATGGGGAGTGTATAGCAGAGCAGAAGTTCTCGCTTCGTGGCCAAGAAGCCAAAAAAGAAAGGAAGATGCAGGAGCAGGTTCCACTATCCATCTTAGTGGCCTCAGAGACCTGAAGACCTCCCACTCGGCCCCACTTCTTAAAGATTCCAACACCTGCCGGGCATAGTACACATGCCTATGATCCCAGCAATTTGGGAGGCTGAGGCAGAAGGATTGCAAGTTTAAGACCAGCTTCAGCAACTTAGTGAGGCCCTTAGCAACTTAGTGAGACCCTGTCTCAAAGTAAAATATCAAAAGGACTGGGGATATGGCTCAGTGGTTAAGCACCCCTGGGTTCAATCCCTGGTACAAAAAAAAAAAAAAGATTCTACCACCTCCCAATAGTGCCACAGCTGAGGACTAAGCCTTTAACACATGGGCCTTTTGGGGACATTTAAGTTCAAAACTATAGCAGTCTAGTAACATAGACATTTTTTCTTAACTTGCACACATTGAGTACATGCTCTATCACAGAGCTCTGCCCTCAGCCCCACCCTGTTATTTTAATATAGAAACAACATAGTGCATTTGCTTATTTTAAATTTGTGGATACCTGAAAATGGTTGTAATATTTTTACCTTCTGGCAAACAATTCATTTTCCATTTGATCGCTTCTTTAAAGATCATCTCATTTGGAAATGTGAGATCAATTATAACTTTATCCCTACTTCAGAAAGAAATTCATGAGCTTTCTCAGGAATGAGTCATTTGGGGTGAGAGTTTGCTCCCCTCAGGGGTTCCAGCTGCTAATGCACCTGTGTCCCTGTTGGCCTAGGTGGCAGAGGAGCTGGGGCATTGCCCACCGCTGCAGCCAGCTGCATAGTTTAGGCCGCCTAGCTCAGCAGAACTTGGAAACACTGCAGAAAGCAAAAGGTAAACATTTTCTACTTTCTTTTATAGTATAGCTTAGCTGCTATACACATTTGTAGATTATAGTGGAAACTAAGTGACTTTATCAGAGCTGAATTTTAATATCTGAATATCTGATCCTTTGAATAAAGCAGAGACCTAAAATTAGTCTTTAGGCTGTTCCTGAATTTTACCCCAAGTTTACAATTAAATTTAAGTAATTATTTGCATAGTGCTAAAAGAATGAAGCATCTCTAGACCATTACCAAAAGGTTTGTGTTTTGTCATCAGGATGTACAGTCATATTTACAGACCGTTCTGGCATGAGTGCAGTGGGCCATGTGATGCTGGGAACCATGGATGTCCATCACCATTGGACAAAAGTAAGAAAGAGCTGAAAAGTAAAAAATCATCATTGGGTTGTCATTCCTGTACTTGCGATTCAAGCAGTACTGCTACATGCATTAACAGAATTTTATTTGTTTTGTCTTTGTTTTTGAAACAGGTTTCATTGTGTTGCCCAGGGTGGTCTTGATCTCCTGGGCACAGGTGATCCTCCCACCTTGGTCTCCCAGGTAGCTGGGACTACAGGTGCACACCTCTGCTCTGAACTAACAAAACCTTAAACCATGGCACTAGCTATTTTCCAATGAGATGTTCAGTATTCTGTAGTTCACATACTTAGGAGGATTTTCTGATTTTCAAGGTAGTTTGTGTCTGGTAATATTAAGTGGTCTTTTCTGAAGCCCAGCCCACAAGCCTACATTCTGTTGTTTTATTTTGTTTGTTTTTAACAGATTTATTGAGGTATAACTGACATTCAGTAAATTACACATTTAAAGTATGTAAGTGGGGCTGGGGTTGTAGCTCAGTGGTAGAGTGCTCACCTTGCATGCACAAGAACCTGGGTTCAATCCTCAGCACCACATAGAAATAAATAAGTGAAATAAAGGTATTGTGTCCAACTACAACTAAAAATAAATATTAAAAATTAAAAAAATAAAGTATATAAGTGGGCAAGTTTGACAGGTATATATGAGACCAACACCACAAACAAGATGGCCAGTGCATCCATTACCTGCAAAGGATGTTTGTGGCCCTCTGTAAACCCTCCCCTCCATCCCACCACTGCCTCCCCATTCAACCATTGAGCTGCCTTCTCTCCTAGAGTTTATATAAGTGTAGAGTACTTTTTCCTCTGGTTTCCTTTGCTTACTTATTTTGAGATTCTTCCCATATTGTCACAAATATTTAGAGCTACTGTTTTTCATTTCTGTGTACTGTGCCATACTGTAACTGAATCACTATTTGTGAATCCATTCACCTGTTGCTAGACTTTGGGTTTGGTCTGTTTGGGATTTTACAAATAAAACTATTATAAGCATAGTGTCCAAATATGAGGATATATATTTTTTTTTCTCTTGGGTAAATACCTAGAATGGAATGGCTGGATCATCTCATTAAGTACTTTAATTTTTTAATAAAATGCCTAAAGATATTCATCTTTTTCATTTTATTTTAAATTTTGAATTTAAATATTCTAATGGAATGTGATTCTACTTATGAATTTGATTTGCCTTTCTCTAATGACAAGTGATGGTGAGCATTTTTCATGTGTTTATTTGCCATCTGCATATGTTTTTTGCCCAAGCAGCTGTTCAAACTACATATCTGATAAAACTTTGTATCTAAAATACATAAAGAACTTTCAACACCCAGCAGTAAAAACAAAAAACAGCTTGTTTTTACTAAGGAAATGAAAAGACCAAAGAGGATATACAGATGACAAGCACATAAGAAGATGTTCATTGTTAGCCATTAGGGAAATGCGATCAAAACTTACAGTGATGGGGGGCTGGGGTTGTGGCTCAGTGGTAGAGCACTCACCTAGCATGAGTGAGGCACTGGGTTCCATCCTCAGCACCACGTAAAAATAAAGGTATTGTGTCCTCCTACAACTAAAAAAAATACGTTAAATATATATACATTTTAAAAAAAACTTACAGTGAGGATGAGGATGCAGCTCAGTGCAGTGCTAGAGCACTTGCCAGCATGTGGGAGGGTCTGGGTTCAGTCCCCAGCACCACAAAAAAGCAAAACAAAAACTGCAGTGAGATATTACTGCATACTAGAGTGGCCAAAATGAAAAATAGCATCACCACCAAATGCTAGTGAAGATGTAGAAACCTGGATCATTTAGCCCTGCTGTTGGGAATGCAAAATGATGCAGGCACTCTGGGAAAAGGACGTGGCATTTTCTTATGAAAGTAAATGTGCTCAGCATTTGACCTGGTAATTATACTCTTGGGCAATTATATGAGAGAAAGGAAAAACTATGTTCACAGAAAAACCACATTCATCCACTTTTCCTAAATCCGATTTACCTTTTAAGATTGGTCAAATTAGACTTCCTTGGAAACCAATGCTTGAATGCCTATCAGCATGCCCTGATGTGGCACTTAGTTCACTAAATTTGAATCTTTCTTTTGTTTCCTTGCACCCCAATTTTGAGGCCCTGGCAAAGGAGCAAACTCATAATCATATGCTGAAAGTGCCCATTCCACTACTTAACACAGTAGATGTTCAATAATATTTATTGCTTTTAATTTAATTTAGTTAAGAGTAAACTTTAAAGAAAGAGATGTGGAGTTGAAATACATACATATACTTTATTTCTAAAAGTCTTCTTTAGTCACCTAAACTAGTTTAAGATTCCTACCAAGAATGTTTTTATTTGGAACTTATTTCTTTTATTTTTTTTTTCCTGCATTCTCTTCAACTCCGATCTAAAATCTCTAGACTTACTTACTTATTTTTAATATAAATATATCCAGAATTCCTTTAAATTTTTTTCTTCTACTTGACTTTTCTTTTTTAGAAAAATAATTTTCTTCTTAAACATTCTCAATGCCATTTTTTGGGATGCTGAGGTCGAGTTATTATGGTAACATAAAACTAAATATATCTTTCCTTTTCCTTAATCCTATAGCTTTTTGAAAGGTTGCCAAGTTATTTTGACCTACAGAGGAAGCTGATGCTTTTAGAAGATCAAATCAGCTGTCTGCTAGGTGGCATACAGGTCATTTATATCGAAGAATTACAGCCAGTGTTGACACTTGAAGAATATTACTCCCTTCTCAACGTGTTCTATAGTAGACTGTTGAAAAGCCGAGCACCTTTCCACCCTCAGAGTCTCCGTGGCTTACAAATGATCCTGAACAGGTAAATTCCTGAACCAGGCCAAATGATTGATTTTTTTAGGTGGATTGTGTATATAAAGACTTTAGATTATTTTGTATTTCAGGGTGTGGATCTTAGTAATTAAAGAAAAGAATGTCACTACTATGTTAGCAACCCTCTTCTGCACACGACACAAGCCAATGTGAGAGTATTGAAGTATTTGGATCTCTAGGACATTCTTTGAATATATTGCCTCATGCTGGGGACAGTCAAACTTCATAGGATTAAATCAGTAGCCCACACTGCACATGTGCTCTGCCTGCCCTGCATTGTATACTTAAATGCATTCTTTCTCCATCTTGCACTCTCACCATGAGGCAGTTGCTACTGCTGTTTTACAGAGGACAGACCCAGGGCTCGGTAGTACATGATTAGTCATTGGAGGTTTAAGTCCGTGTTTTTTTGTTTTTAAGGTGGATTTTCTTGATGATTCCTTTTCAGTTCTTGGCAGGGGGTGGAAGAGTCTGTGATTTTCCCTATATATATGTTTCATTGCAGTGACAGATATGCTCCAAGTTTGCATGAACTCGGCCATTTTAACATCCCAGTACTCTGTGATCCAGCAAATCTCCAGTGGTTTATTCACACCAGAGTGCAGCAGGCAAGAGAGAACATGAAAAGAAAGGAGGAGTAAGTACTACTAGCTGTCTGTGAAGTCATGGAGTTCCATCTAACTTTTAAAGAATCAGATGTTTGGAATTCACAAATATGGAACATTAGAACTGTACTAAGGGCCTGGGCTCAGTAGTAGAGCACTTGCCTAGTGTGTGTGAGGCCCTGTGTTCAATCCCCAACACTAAATAAAAAAAAAATAAAAAAAACAGAATTGAACATCAGAAATTAACTAATCTGTGGGTATTCCATATTTTTTATTCCACACACACCTGCAAGATATTGGATGTGGACTGTTTTATAAGCATAGTAACCTAAATTATATAATACATTTTGAGAAGTAGGGTTACACCTGTAATCCCAGTGGCTCATGAGGGTGAGGCAGGAAGATCAAAAGTACAAGACCCTAAACTCAAAATAAATTTTTTTAAAAAGGGCTGAGGATATAGCTCAGTGGTAAAGCACCCCTAGGTTCAATCCCCAGTGCCAAAAAAAAAAAAAAAAAAAAAAAGTTTAAAGCCAGCAACAGAATAACAAGAATATCAAATAGAGATTCTACAGAGGGAAAAAGGGTGGCAACAAAGGGAGAAAGTAGCCATTACTTAACAGGAATCTTTATTGTTCAAAATTTTTTAAACTACCTGATATAAAGAGAACTTTATCTGCATTTTAGTTAGTCAGAAGAAATTTTACAATAAAAATTGTTCTAGTTCATAAGCAGGCCTTTTTCTATAGCCAGGAGTTTCCTAATTGAGTGGTAAGATATTGCCCAGTAATGTGTTATGTGTCTGCTGTGAAGAAAGGAGGGTCTGACGTTCAAAAGACAGTTGTTTTAAAGTGCTCCCCGAGGAAGTTTGCCAAGTATTTTATTCATTCAATCATTCAGCCATCATTTATTGTGACTGTTATGTGCCTGGAACTGACAGGTGCCATGGTCAGATGAAGATCTGTCCTTTGTCCTCCCAGAATTCATTTTCTGCAGGAGATTTAACAGCTGAAATATGGCAGTGGGAGCCAGACCACAGGGTTGAGCTGAGCAGGAAGAGCCAAAGCTAAGGCTCTAGCAGATGAGGATAAAGGGAAGTGCAGGGCAGAGAGCAGGCAGGAGACTGAGGAGGCCAACTGTGCCCATGTTTGGGAGGGGCGGCTCCAGGAGAGACCAGGAGGACAGAGATATGGAGCCTGGCAGGGAGAGGAGCAGTGGTGGTTAGCTGACGGGCGGGGGAGAAGCCTTCACACACTCAGTCCCCACAGGATGCCTCTGTCCAAAGCTAGGCTCATGAGATAAAGAGAAAGGATGGCAGCTAAGAACATGAAACTGTCCCTTTAACAGGAGATAAGGGACTCATTTTATGAATAAAATAAATGAAGAAACTGCATCTCTGTTTTGTTTGTGGGATTGGTGACAACTCACTCAGATCTTACATGAATATCCTGCTTCCCAAGTAGTGTCGAGCGTTTGTGTTTGTGGTACTGCTCTGCTGAACTTCCCCTCTGCTCAACGCTGGGAAGCAGTTCTAGCCAGCCTTCCCCAACCACCCATCTTTGTGTTTGCTCCTGAACTGCCAGTTGCTCAGGCAAATGAAAGCCTGGGAGTCCTCGAGATTCCTCCCCATCCCCAACTTCCCAGCCCCACTTCAGAGTATATCCGGATTCCTACCAAGTCTCAGTCCTTCATCCCACACCTGGACCAGGGCTGCATTATTGTGTGGTGACCTCCTACCCAGTCATCAAGCTTCCACATTTTCCTCCCCCACCCCAGTCCATTCTTATCCTCTAAGTGAACCAGGGGAACAGTCTTCCTGGGCTGGTGCCTGCAGCCAAGCTCAGCTCCTAGGACTCTGCCTCGCTAATTTCTCATCAGCCCTAGCCTCATTAGCCCTGTCTTCTTCCCTCGCCTTCCCCGGCTCCCCAGGCGCTTCCCTCCCTGGCCCTTGGCCATTCCCAGGAGTCTTAGCCTCCCTCTGCCCCTGCTCACATTCACTTTCTTGGGAGGCCTTTCCTAAGGTCTGCCATACCTTGTCAGGTGGGCTTCCCAAGTGACACATGTATCAGTCTAGGTGTAGCCCGAATGGTGTAGCAAGGTGGAGGTCTCAGCCCCCCAGCGTGGAGGGTGCAGCCCACATGAGCACCAGGTCCCTACGTGTCTGCCACCTGTAGGAAAGGATGCCAGTTCTGCTCTGGAGTTGTTTCCTTCCTAGGCTTTACCTGAAGCCCCAACAGAGCCAGAAGGGGGCTCTGACAAAGGGGAGGGAACCAAAAGGGCTGGAAGAGGGGCTGAGGGAGGTAGGAGGAGAATGAAGAGCGCCTGTCCTTGGACTATTGATTTTGTTGTGAGCTGGCCAGTGGCTCCTAAAGTTAGGGATTTTATATTCTTCACTTTCTACTTTCTTCAGTCACTAGCAGCCACTAGGTGAGGAAGAATAAGACCTCTTTAAATTATGCATTAATTTTACCCCATTACTGCTAAAAAGATGAAACAAATATTTTGAGAGATACCTGTGGAAATAATGAGTGCCACATGATAACTGTTGTCATATCTTCTAAATATATAATTTGACATTTATGGATGTCATTTTCAGTGTTGAGTAGAAAGTTACAGCCCCAATATATAAGAATGTATTTACATTTTATGTTCTTTTATGTAATTATAACTTATGGTCTTATTACTTTTATTTTCAATATAATAGGTTAAAGGTTATTGAAAATGAATTGATACAGGCTTCAACAAAGAAATTTTCTCTGGAGAAGTTATATAAGGAGCCCAGCATTTCTAGTATACAAATGGTGGATTGTTGTAAGAGACTTCTAGAACAGTCACTGCCTTATCTACATGGGATGCACCTCTGCGTTTCACATTTTTACTCTGTTATGCAAGATGGAGACCTTTGTATTCCTTGGAATTGGAAGAATGGAGAAGCCATAAAGTAACAGCAATATTTTTTTAAAGAGATAAGAAACTGTTAAACTTAATTTAAATCCACAGTTTGATATGACACTATCACTTATGTATTACAAGAACAAAGTTCCTAACTGCTGCTTTAAAAATACACTTTTAAAAATTAATTTCTTCAGGGCTGGGGTTGTGGCTCAGTGGTAGCATGCTCACTTAGCATGCATGAGGCACTGGGTTCGATCCTCAGCACCACATAAAAATAAAGACAATAAAGTCCATCAACAACTAAAAAAAATTTTTTTAATTTTTTAATTAATTTCTTCAAGGAAACCTGTTTTTAAAAGATTTTGTCCCCCATTCTATGATGTTGATTGACAAGACTAGGTAAAATGATATTAGAGTGAAAGAAAATATTTTTAGTGATATATAATGAAGGATTCTCTGAGTCATATATTTTTATATGAGTGAATATTGGTTTGGGGCTGAACAAGTATGTATGTAAGTATAAACAGGTCTCATACCCAGTACATCTCTGAAGTATTGAAACCATTACATTAGCCCAACACTCATCCTCATAGTTCATCTCATGGATATATACACACGTATTTTCCAGTAACAGCCGGTTGCTATCCAAAATAGATGACTGGTAGGTAGCAAAAATTGGATAACCAAATTTTGCCTAAAATAAAGAATAGAAGGGAAAAAAACAAATACATAGTATTGACATTGTTCTTAAGAGTCTGATATCAGTTTATTAAAAATCTTCATTGACAGAGTTTAGTTGTAACCTAAATTTATCCTACTCATTAAAATGTCATAAACATTGGAGCTGGGATTATATAGCTCAGCAAGAGAGAATGTGCTTAGCATGCATGAGTCCCTAGGTCCAATCCCCAGAAAAAATGAAATGAATAAAATATTGTAACTCTTGGTAACATGAAACCAAAAAACGATATTTTTGAATGATTTAAAAATTTCCTGGGCAAAGACTATCCAGGAAAATCCTTGCCAGCTTCCCAGAGGGTTCAAAGAAGCAGTGTCAAGTATAAAGTAGTTCAGACCTTCCAGGTTTTCTCTCAAGCCCACCTTCCTGTTCCTGCGGGTGTTGGAAATCCCCTCTTTAGCTCTGGCCGGGTTAAAACCTCTCTGAGTCACCTCTCATTCTTAGAAATATAGCTTAATCCCAAAGAGGTATGAGTTATGATGTCTTCAGCAAAGAGACCAGTTCTAGATTCTGTACCCCTCTCTGCAGATTTCTTCTGAGATTCCTTAACCAGATCCAAAACCTCTCAGTTCATTTCTCAAGAGAACAAGGTGAATCCTGATTGGGGATTTATGACCATTTTTATGACTCTTCTGCTGTAGAAATCAGAAGAATTATTTTCCATCGTGCATTAGAACAAAAAGATGTTAAAATCAGTTCTTGAAGTATGTTTTAAATTTACATAAAACATCAAATATGGAAGCAGCTTCACATTGCAAATATGTGTTCAAAAGAAGTGTTGGTTTGTAATTATTCATTTGTGCATATCATCCCTTTTAACTTGTGCCTGACAACTTATATTCAGATTTTGTTTTCTAGTAAAATAAGTGGTGTTGCCTGTAAACATTTTCCAGAGCCAAATAATGGGAGTGAAAAATTCCTCAAAGATTATATAAGATTTATTGGAAAATTAGGTTTCAATTGTGCCATTGCTAAAATTAACTAATATAGAATCTTCAATACTAATGTTTTGAATTGGATTTTGTCTCAGAACTCATTATTACATAATAAACAATACCTACATCAACCAGAGAGCTGATTTTTCAATTACTAGTAGTTTCAATACTGTCCAATTAGTAGTTTTACAATTCTGGCAGTGTAAGAAATTGGTGACCTAACACCAAAGGGAAAACTGTCCGACCACTGAGAAGGGGCACCCAGCCTCTGTCTTTATAAAGCCTCGAGGGAGAAATGGTCTCCAGCAGGACCTCGCTCCAGATCACAGCTCAGGCTGTCCTGAGGGAGAGCTGGGTCCTGCCCTCCAGGGGAGCTGCACCCTCTGGCCTGCTGCCCAAACAGCATCTCCAGGAATCTTCCTCCTCCTCCTCCCTCCAACAAACGCAGCTACCTCCAGGCAGCCTCCTTGAGCTACTAAGAGGGTGGCAGGCTTTGTTGAGTGGGCAAGATAAGAAGTTTCAGGGCCAGCTCACCTTTGAAATTTCTAAAGATTAGTGTCCTTGGGGTAAACCCATCCAGCTCAGGTCGCTGCAGTGCCCCCACTTCTTCCATACTAACTGCCTGTGTCATGGAGGCTGCCACTTCACCCCCAGCTGCCCGGGGCAGTTCTGGCTAGGCTCCCCTTGAGCAAATCAACAGATCAAATCAGTCCAGTAGAGACTGATGGGACCTCAAGGCTCCTCTGTGGACCATGGAAACCTCCCACCCACAGGCCAGGGGTGCCAAAGATGTATCAGGGAGGATTAGCTGACCATCCAAAGCTTGGCCTATTCCAAGACCACCCTCTTACCTATGTCACCTAACATCAGATGCAATGCAGATCCCAACCTGGTCCCCTCTGACACAGTTGGTCACTGCAGGTGACCATTCCATGGCCCAACCCTAGGAGACCCAAAGTGCTAGTCCTAGTGGCTCCACATGCTAGGTGGCCTTGGCAAAGTCCCTCTACTCTTGGCCATCTATAAAAGGAGAGGCAGAGCATGTTCTTGGAGGTTCTGTCCACCCTGAGCAAGTCTATCCCCGGAAGCCAGAATCCTGCCATGGGTGGTCCTTGGTCCCATGGATCCCTCCCTCTTAGCAATTGTGAGAACAGAGAAGGAGGTGGAACAGCCAGTGCTCTGGACAGGTGAGACAGCTCAGTAGAGTGCCCCCTCTTCCTCCCCTGAAGCCTCTGCAGCCACAGCCTGTTTCCATTGGCCACTCAAAATCCTTGCCCCGCGGCGAGCTTCCTACAATGGAGCGTTTTAGGGATTTTCCCCCAGAGCTGACAGAGGTTAACAAGTGGAAAAACTAAAACCCAAAATAAGGAAAAGGCTTGTCCAAACCCTTCAGACTGCAGCAGGCAGAGTTGGCATTGGAGCCCAGGTGTCCTGTGGCCAGGGAGGGATTTGAGCAAGAGTAACGCCCCAGCTCTGGGCAAGCCTGCCCCACCAGGTGTTTGATCTGGAGCCCATCAGTTCTGCACCCTCCGGCTCCAAGAGAAGCTGGGCAGCACCCTTGTCCCTCACCTTTTCATTCTGCCCTTGTTCCAACCAGGGCATGGGGTGTGCTGCTCAGTACGAGATGTGGTGCAAGCTGGAGGGGCCATCAGATTTTCACCATCCAATCTTCAAGATGTAGAGAATTTTGCATTTTCTCTTTTATCGCTACCACGGGCACTGGCCTAGACCTGGTATCTGTGTGCATGAGCCAGAGACTTGGAGGTCAGCAGGACAAGCAGCTAGGCCTTAGGAAGAACAGTGTGACCACAGGAATAGAGAACAACCCTAGTGCCTCACTTTTATTTTCACTCCAGAACTCAGGATTTTTAAATTTGGAAGTAAAATCATTAATCTTTTTCTTTCCTCCTAGATTCCTAACAAACAGGGAGATCCTAGGCACTGGTGACATGGCAGGGACCAATCAGAAAGCTGTTGTGAGGAGCTGACACTGGAAGACTGAGCATCATTTAGCTTTTTCTTGGTGCATTAGTAGCTAGAATAAATTACAAACTAGCTGGCTTATACAGCAGGAATCAGGTGTTGAAAGGACTGCTGTCCCAGAAAGAGTCCTTCATTTGCCTCTCCCAACCTCTGTTGGCTGTGGGCACTCCTTGACTTGTAGCCCAATCACTCTAATGTCTGCCTGTCATCACAGTACCTGCTCCTCTTCTCTGCGGGAGGAGCGGTACCCTCTAGCACGCCTGGTCAGTGCACCCGTGTGGCACTGTGTGGTGGCAGCTGTGGAAACCTTCTCTGACTCTACTGAGCCCCATATTCCTCCCTCCCTTTAAAATGTTCAAATCATTATGAGGCTCAGATCTTTGCCTATTAGACATTTTTAAGTAACTTCCTCTTTTCTAACTTTTATATATTTTGCATAACATGGGGTCCTGTGAAGTGCCTTAAAATCTAACCTAAGAATGACCCCAAACTGGACAGAACTTAAAAGTCTTAGATTCAGGAATGGGAGCTACATGAATTGCAATCAAGGGCAGGGATACTAATCATGAAATTATAACATAGGACTCAAATAGCAAAAACCTTAGTAAAGCTAAAGTTCTCTAAAAAGCTGCCTCCATATTCAAAGTCTTGCAGGCTGTTTGATCTCAGCTGAGTAGAACATTGAGATTGTGGAGAGATGGAATGGTGCATGTCTAGAACCCAAATTATCACCAGGCATGGTGGCACATGCCTGTAACCCCAACGACTCAGGAGGCAGAGGCAGGAGGATCTCAACTTTGAGGCCTAAGCAGCTTAGCAAGACCCTGTCTCAAAATAAAAAATAAAAAGGGCTGGGTATGTGGCTCAGCAGTTAAGTGCCCCTGGGTTCAATCCCCAGTACTACCACCACCACCACTATCACCCCCAAAAATAGAGCCAAAATTATCTTGGACTGTCATAGTCACTTTAGGAAAATATCCATTTGCTTTTAACCTTTGTGTCTGGTTTATGACCAACAGATAAATATCTCCAAAGGTATTATTAAGCTTAGTTAATGTTTGTTATTTGGTCCCATGAAAAGGACACCATTAGCCTCCACCAACCCCAAAAGGTAACAATGCTGTAAGTTGATGTCTGAACCCTATAGAAAAGATTTCCCTGCCTCGCTATAGCTGCCTACCTAACACAGCCACCAATGAATTTGTTGGATGTTGATAACTTTTTTGTTCTTTGACTATAAAAGTTGATGTAACCTCTTCCTCTTCGGAGCCCATCATTCAGAGTAACTTGAATCTGTTCTTGGGCTTTAGGCACTCACATTTGGCTCATAATAAACTATTTCTTTTTTCCTTGAAAGCAGAATTTATGGGGCTGGGGATGTGGCTCAAGTGGTAGCGCACTTGCCTGGCATGTGCAGGGTGCTGGGTTCGCTCCTCAGCGCCACGTAAAAATTAAATTAAGATGTTGTGCCCACTGAAAACTAAAAAAATAAATATAAAAAAAGAAAGCAGAATTTATATTTTTCATTAACATTTTGAAAGACACAGAAGCATCCAATCAAGACCCAAGATATCACCAGTCCCTTCAACTTCAAAAAGTCCTCAAAACCCCTCTTCAATGGCCAATGGGAGATGGATTTGAGCATGCCTCCTGTCTCCTTATCAGTTAACCTCCAATAAAATGTTTTCTTTTTGCAAAAGTCAGCATGCCACAGTATTTGGCTTATATGGACATGGGGCAGCAAGCCCTTGCTCAGTACCAATTGGCCCCAGATGGATAATACTGACTTATCGGTGTCCCCATTCCTGTGGCCTGGCCCCTGAGCCTTGCTAGCATATTACGCATTTATCAGAAACAAAACAAATCTTATTGAATATCTACATCCTTGACACCAAGATATAGCAGCCTTGCTCCTGATGACCTGATATTAGTAGCCCACCCCTTTCTCAAAGCAAGGTGCATGGGCTTTGTGACTGACTTGTCTCCACCTAGGGTAGCCCGGATGTGTTCTGGAGGGAAGAACTGCTGTGGTATTGTGGTCTAGTGGACAGACCTAGGGATGAGCAGGCACAGAGGCATGCTTAAGGTCCCAGGCTGCATAAAGGGGGGCATCCCTAGTGTACAGGTGAGGAGCATGGAGCCCATGGGCTTATAGGAACCAGGTCCTGCCCATTCACTACATTGGCCCACTGTCCCTGCAGTGGCCTGTTCTGGTTGTGTATCCCAGTGAGAGACAGCACACGGGCCTCTTCTCAGCCCAGGTGCAGCCTATTTGGCCAGCCCCCAACCCCTACCACGTGGAATCTAGAAGAAAAGCCCATATCATATGCGGAGACTGTGTCTTACTAGGCCCCTGGTCTCCACCAGCCAAAATCCAAGATGAGTCCAGGAAGATAAGCTGGCTCCTCGTCCTTTGTGGGTCTATAGCAGGTGATAGCACAGACTGGGTCCAGGGAGGAACTGTCCCCATCCTATAGTCTCCTTGGGTCATGAAGTGGCACACAGGCAGGGAGCCCGTATCTGTAAGGGTCAGAACAGGACCCTAACCCTCCACCTGAACAGCTCTCTGGCAGAAGGACAGCCAGGGGGATTTGAGGGCTGGACTCAAGGCGCCTCCAGGAAGCATCTTGCCTATCCCCACACTGAGCCTGTGAGTCTCAGCAGCTGAGCTAGCGGGGAGTGGCAGGCCCTCTTATACAGGTATCGCAGCGCAGAAGGACTGTATGGAACAATCCCCCAGCTCTCAGAATCTACCTCCCTCCTCAGCCAGGGCTGGGCTTCCATTGTGTTCATCACACCCCAGAGAGTGTTTGCTGCAACCTCCCTGGTGACCTGGAGCAGGCCCCCTTTCTCACCCCCATTTTGTAGGTAGGTGTTGCTTAGCTTGCTAGGAAGTGAAGGGGCTGGGCTTCAAACCCAGACCTGAAGACCCCAGAACTCTATTGACTGATGCTCTGCTCACTGTGGCTGGGTATAAACCCCCATGGCCCTCAGCAGAAAGGTCACACTTCTCACCACAGGAGAGAGGTAAAGCTGGTTCAGGAACATCTGTAGCCACATGTTCATAGACACCAAGCAGAGAAGCCTTTGTACCAGACCAGCAAGTACCATGGGTACTGGGCCACATCAGGATTATAAATGAACTGCG